TCTCCTGTACAAACAGTAACATTTAAAGTAAAAACCGGAACAAGCTCTAGCAAAATGCAACCTTTTCGTTCGTAGAGCATTCATTGTTCTCGCCCGGATGCGCTTTATCGATTCCCTAAGGGATGGTTTCGCAGGCTGATAAATTTTAATGGGTTGACGTACTAGAAAGGTCTAATCATTTCCGCGAATCGATAGACAAATGACGAGGAAGCCGTTAAATGTGAGGTGATGGCGATTTGAACACATTGCATTATTGCAAACCAGGGAGCGACTAAAAGACTGATGAAAATCAGAAAGATTGATGATGAATTCCTTTTCCTAAAATAGTGCCAGCAACTTACTGGCGGCTGGCCCTTAAGTTCTGCAGAGCTGCAGAACTGCCAAAACTTTTGTTTTAACAGAAAAAAGCTGTAGTAATTTGATCATTATTTATTTTCCATGTTATCACACAAATAGAAACGATACCGGCAACGCTGCCCCCGCAAGACACGGCGTCGAGTCTGTTTGTACCGAGACAGCATTATAATCGACCAATTGTGTACTTGTCATTTTCGTCGCGACCGCAGCGTAACATTATTCATGGGCCACTTGAAAAGGGTCTGTGCACTACTTCGACACAAGCCGCACGCGCTTGCTTTTGTATCTCTCTTCAAAATTAAATGCGCGATTTAAGTACGGATATAGGTGCTACAGATTTAGTGAACCTGAGTGAAAAAATTAAGAAGCATGAAAACTCTAAAACACATCTTCATAATTTGATGGAATTGGCTTTTTTGGGGACTGTTAACATCAGAGCTCAGTTAGATTCAGCATATTGGAGAAATACACAACAGCATAATGATACCGTTACAAAAAACAGGTGCGTTCTATCAAAAATGATCGATCGTATAAAATTTTGCGGAGCACTTGAACTGACTCTACGAAACCGAGAGCTCCGAAAGCCCGGGAATATTTCGTGGACTGATTAATTTTTCTGCTGAGCTTGATACAGCCTTAAGCGAACACATAAAAAATGCTTCAATATTTAAAGGAACTTCGAAAGAAATACAAAACGATGTATTGGATTGTATTCTTGAAGTTTGTCATGAAGAAATAATAAAACAGATTAACAGAGCCTAGTATTTGGCGATAATAGCAGATGAAACAACGGACATTTCGGGGAAAACCCAACAGGTAACAATTTTCAGATATGTAATATTTAACGGCGAACCAGTAGAACGTTTTTGGAATTATATGAATCCCGAAAAATGTGACGCTGATACTGTCACAAGACATATTTTGAGCGTCGTAGATCCATTAATAGGAAATTTCCCTAACCAACTGATTTCACAAAGCTATGATGGAGCCGCGGCAATGAGCGGACATAATGCAGGAGTACAGGAAAAAATTAAACAAAGATATCCATTTGCTCACTATGTGCATTGCTATGAGCATCAGTTAAACATGATTATGTCACAGGCTGCTTCCTCTAATGCTCAAGTTAGGGTGTTCTTTGGGGATTTGAAAGATATCCCGGGATTTTTTAATAATTCTCCTCAACGCGTAGAGGTACTGAACAGAATTGTGGGGGAAAAATCCCCAAGGAGCAACAACTCGTTGGAATTTTAATATTCGAACAATAAATGTAGTGTTTGAGAACAGAGAATCAATCATTGAATCCATGGAAGAAATAGAATAGAAATTTCACCAATGAAACCGTTTGCAAGGCAGCTTGCGGTATTCGCCGTATGTTAAACGATTCTGATTTCGTGTTTTGGTTGACATTTTTTCATCATGTCATGCCTCACGTCGACATCTTGTTCAACCAGTTGCGGAAGAGAAAAACCGAGCCAGCGCAAGTTAAAACGGCTATCGATAATTTTGAAAAATGTATTGTCGATGTGAGAAATAAAATTGATGATATAATAAATGAAGCCAAAAGTATTTGCACTGAACCCCAAGGCAACAAAAGGAGACGACGTAATAATAGCAGTCACGATCACCGAGTTGCCGCATTAGAAGTGTGCGACAATATAGTGAATTCTGCAAATGAACAAGTTGGAAACTACCTGCTTGGCTTATCCCGAATTAGAAAAAAGTCGCTTAAAGACAGAGTTGTCTGTTAATTATGCACGGAATGATTGCCGAGATTTACATGTAACTCTGTCTCTTTTGAAATTTTTGATACAAAATAGTTTGGAAGAAACACTAAAAGAAACAAAAAAGCTATTAGAACTTATTGTTACAACTCCTACGTCAACATCAGAGACTGAGGGAAATTTCTCAACATTGAAAAGAATCAAGACCTTTTTTCGAAATACTATGACCCAGGATCACCTTACAGCGTTGCCGATGCTGTCCATTGAAAAGGAATTTATTTCGACCATGGAAAATTTCAACGGGAAGGTAATCGACAAATTTGCTGCCAAGAAGGAACGCAGGATCGAACTGACATATAAAAAATAGGTAAGTTCGGATTTGCAGAACACCTGTTATATTTTGCCACGAGCCGCCACAGCAGTAAGCCTGATTGGTACGAATAACTGTTTCATAAGGATAGGATATTAAAAGGCGTTGTAATTGAGACAAAAGGTATTTGAATGGTCTTCAAATTTTTGTTTTCTAAAATGTTACATATTGTTAATGTTAATCAACAATTTTTTTAATCTAGTTTAAAAATTTAATAGAGTCTAGTCGTACAGCAATGCTGAATGGGAAAGATAAAAAATATACTAAGTGACATATAAATCCCACCCAGTTTAAATGGTTTTATTTTAATAAAATTTTGTAAAAGTACTTAATGAAGCATAATAAGTAAATGATAAAAATTTCAAAATGATTGCACTGCTTTAAAGCCCTTTGACCTTTAATAATGTGTGGATGCACCCTGATGTGCGCATTCTCCAACGCGCCTAGGCATGCTTCTGATCAGGTGGTCAATGTCCTCCTATGGTATCTCATTCCAGGCAACCACCAACTCCTCTCGAAGTGCTTCTAGAGTCTGAGGAGGACGTTGCAAATTGAGCAATCTCCTACCCATCATATCCCACACGTGCTCAATTGGGGATAAGTCGGGAGATCTTGGTGGCCATAGTAACAATGTGACATCATTATGTTGAAAGAAGTCTATTGTGACTCTTGCAACATGTGGTCGGGCATTATCTTGTTGGAAAATTGGATCTGCCAGAGTGTCAAGATAGGGTAAAAGATGGGGTTCCAGAACTTCGTGGATATAACGTTGCGCGTTCATGTTACCTCCGATGAAGATTAAAGGTGACCTGGAACTATAAGCTATAGCACCCCAAACCATAACTCCAACAGTGTGATGAACATGTCTTTCAACAAAAAACTGTGGATTCCTCCTTTCACCACGTCGCCTTCTAACCCTGGCACGACCATCGTGCATGCCTAAATAAAATCGAGACTCGTCACTAAAGACAATACTGTTCCATTCCTGATCCCAGAGTGACCGTTGTTTGCACCACTCAAGGCGATTACGTCGGTGTTCTCGAGTTAAAGGGAGGACCCAGTGTGGCCGGTATGAAAACAAGCCAAAACTTCTCATTCGTCGGTAAACACTTCGCATGCCAATAGGTCTTCCATGTTCTGCAAACCATTCATTTGCAATGGACCTGGTAGTGGAGAAACGGTCCCTTAAGGCCAATAATCTTAGGCGGCGATCTTCACGGTCTGTTGTTCTACGGCGGCGTCCAGTGCCCCTTGCTCTTTGCGTACGGCCTTCTCGAAGCCATGCCTGACAACACCTAACCACAGTGTCTACACTTCTTTGCACTCTAACTGCAATTGCCCGAAAAGAAAGTCCAGCTTCCCGAAGTCCCACTATACGGCCCCTATCAAACTCACTAAGTTGACGAAATCGTACAGGTCTCCGTACTCTAGACATCGTAACCGATCGTAAAGGATGTCAAGAACAAAAATCCGCCAACGTTGATTCTTTACTGCGGCTGAAATATTCATTTTTAGAGCGTTAGTGAATTAAAAAAAAGCAGTATAAAAACCGGAATGTCCAACTGATAAGGCTGAAAATTTTTTCACTTGTTATTTACGGTAAGATAAATTAATACATTCACCAACTTTTATTAAAATAAAACCATTTAAACTGGGTGTTCGGATTTATATGTCACTTAGTATATTTCTTTGTTGAGATGCATTTTTCGGCCACTTGTCAGCATCTAAAGCTAATTTAAAATTGCTTTCAGAAATGGCCACTTTGAAAGATGAATAAAACTCAGGGTATTGTTTAATTTTTCTACAGTCGATGTTCGATGAATGCCTAAATTGGAAATAGACATTTATGAGATTTGTTTAGCGGTGCGCCTTTGGCCTGCCTAGAAACTGCGTCGATCGATGCTCAAAATCAATACCACACGTCCCGCACCTCTTCTCGCGTATGTGTCTATTTATGTTGCTATACTGAATTCGTTTAAATCACAGAGCTGCTGCACTATACGTGAATAAGTAGAGCTCTGTATTCCGGTTTTTGTTTAGTACAAACATACATTATCAAAATAATTACGATCTAACAGATATAGTTTTTTACAAGGAATTCCAACATTCCTATATGCGATGTTATTTACAGTAAGATAAATACATTCACCAACTTTTATTAAAATAAAACCATTTAAACTGGGTGTTCGGATTTATATGTCACTTAGTATAAATAGCAGTGTTTGTTTGGTGATACGTCTCTGGAATAGAGTAGTAGCCAGGATTTGTTCATTAAGGTGTTAAATGCATAGTAAACTTTATAAATTCGGTTTAAATTACATAATGTTAAAGTAGCAAATGCTCACTGCACGCCATTGGAGGCAAGGAACGTTCAATGAGTGCTTCAATCTGTTCTCTCGCGCTAAAAATTCCACTTTATGCACCAGTTACCCATTCTCAAGAGAAACCCCAAAAAGACCATTTTTGAATTATAATCAACTTTCGAAAAATCTACTTGACTCCACTTTCTTTATAGTTACATCTATGGTAAAAGCTTCTGTTCACTGTCTCACCTTCGTATCCCTTGGGAGTCGATGAACTGCATCCCGAACGCGTGAGGAACCCCATGGGAATCGACGTAATGTCCAGAAGAATCCCTTTTATGGTCATGGTGGTGATCTTGTTCATGTCTATGGTGTTCGGCAGGGGTGGGAGGCAGGAACGGAAAGTCCCTGGGACCTGGGTGGTGATCGTGGAAATGATGGTCGCCTGGAAAAAGTGTATACAATATCACACCCTGTTCTATCGTCTTTATCGCCTTTTTGATGCTGGATCAAAACAACTAATACCACAGTTTAGAAATTTACCTTTATGGCCTTTCGACGTTCCATGGTGATGTTCCTTCCCATGGTGGTCCTTCCCATGGTGCTCTTTCTGATGGTGGTCTTTGCCGTGGTGCTCCTTAGGGTGGTGGTCCTTATGGTGGTGATGCGGCGTGTGATGTTGCGACGACTCGATCAACGTCGGTTGGATATGGGTCACAAACTGGGCCATCGTCTTCTCGTATTATATCATCTGGTTCTACCTCGAACTATTTTCTCTAAGAAAGAAACAGATTTTGACTTTAGGACTTTATTATCCATCCGAATTGCAAAGGACAATTGTTCTCAGAAGTGAATCAAAAAAACATTATAAGGATGATGATCTCAGGAACAGTCGAGTTAAAAAGGGTCTTCTATTTCCTGACGTTGATCTGGTTATGGTAACGAAAATGGATAACAAAACGCTAACGAAATTCCTGAGTATGTTGCTGGACTTTTATTAACAATTACTTGACTTTCATTTTTAATAAGACAAAATTGATGACATTTAAATGCTCCCTTGATTTTATAAATCTGAATAATGAATTGATACACAAAACAGACACCATAAAATTTTTGGAACTGACCATTGATCATAAATTAGATTTTACTAATCATGTAGACAAATTGCTTACCAAACTAGCAAATATTTCCATCATTATAAGAACAATTAGTCACAACGTAGGGGAAACCGCAGTTAGTATGCCTTAATTGAAAATAGTAGTAGTATTGTTAAGGGCATATTTATCCATATAACTATGATTTTTTATTTTTTGACCTTCTTATAAGATCCGTGATGTGAGTAAACTGTGACTCATCTTAACGATGCAACATGAAGCAAATTTCGGTAGTTTAAAATACAAAACATTGACTGAAAAAAAAATTCGACCGTAGGAGCTTAATTGTATTGGTTAAAGATTCAAGATACTTACACTATTTTATTACTAGAAGAATTATTAGAGAGTACACATCACAAAAGCACAGAAAGTGGATATTAAGATAGAGCGACAAGCAGAAATCTACGTTAAACTAGCACTATTAAATCAGCCTCAGCGTTTATTGTCCGTCGTTATCATTATACGAAAAAGTCGTGAATCGGTCTGAGAAGAGCGGAACAGTGTGAGGGTGCTCCTGACTCTGTCTCCGGAGCCTACCCGGAACGAAGTTGCGAGATTTTCCCGCTCCGGCGACTCCGGCAATCAATACCGGAGCGTAAACAGCGGCGCCGATTTGAAGGGCCATACGAGGATGTAGTACGAAGGGTTTGTTGACCTAAAGCGGGCCACACACGTAATCAGTGACACAAAAAATAACACTGGACAACAAATTTTAGTTTTTTAATTGTATCTTGTGCGAAAAATGCACTTCTTTGTTAATTTTGGGGCGCTGAATCCAAAAATGACAATGAAATAAAAAAATTAGTTGCGGTTTAGAAAAAAAACTTTTTATTTTTAAGGATATATTAAAAAAAGTAACAAGATTCATATACTTATAAGAATCACTATATGCGCTGTCTTTTTGTTGTTCTTTTATGGATCGTTTCTGGAGCATCTCTACCAAGACTCCAACAGTCGTCTGCAAGCATGGAAGGATTCCACTTTCCCTGGTACCTTTTTTCCATTGTTGAAATATCCTGATGAAAACGTTCGCCGTGCTCATCACTTACGGCTCCGCAATTGTCAGGAAAAAAGTCCAGGTGTGAGTGTAGGAAATGTATCTTAAGAGACATATTACAGCCCATCTTTTGATACGATGACAGCATATTTTTGACAAGGGTTTTATAGTTGTCAGCTTTTCTATTTCCCAAGAAATTAGTGACCACCAGACGGAAATCATTCCAAGCAGTTTTTTCAATACCTGTTAAAGTGTTTTCAAACTGTGTATCTTTCAAAATATTTCGAATCTGTGGCCCAACAAAAATACCTTCTTTAACCTTTGCCTCACTTAGTCTTGGAAATTTCTGACGCAGGTATTGAAAAGCTGACCCATCTCTATCTAATGCATTGACAAAGTTTTTCATTAGGCCCAACTTGATATGCAGTGGTGGTAATAAAATTTTTTTCGAATCTACTAATGGCATATGCTGTACATTTTTTTGACCTGGCTCTAGGAATTGACGAACAGTTTTGTCTGGTGTAATGAAGTGCCTTTGCTCGACTGTCCCATTCACACAAAAAACAGCAAAGCTTTGTGTAGCCTAGCTGCAGCCCAAGTAAAAGTGCAACAACTTTCAAATCGCCACAAATATGCCATTGGTGCTCATCTTATTTTATGCATGTCAATAGGTACTTCATATTGTCATATGATTCTTTCATGTGAACTGCATACCCTACAGGAAGAGATGATAAAATATTTCCAATATGCAATAACACCGCCTTTAAACTCAATGTTGAACTGTCTATAAACAATCTCCATTCTTCTGAGTTATAGTTTATATTTAAAGCCGCAAGTAAGCCGTTAATGTTACCGCAGAAAACCAAGTTATTCTCCATATTGAAAAATGGTTCTATGTCTTTGTGGCGTTTACGAAAAACACATACCGAAACATCGTCTTCTAACAAGTTCCTCTGCTGCAGTCTTGATCCAAGTAACTCTGCCTTACATTTTGGAAGTTCTAAATCTCTTACAAGATCATTTAATTCTGACTGTGTTATTTTGTGCAGTTGGTGGCACGACGTGCTCGGTATAAAATCAGGATCTCTTGACGTTGATGGCATATCTTCTTCCTGACGAATCACTCGATCGCCATGATCTGATTCGTTTTCTGATTCGCAAGTGTAGGATTCTGGGGGTTTTGGAATAGGATTTTAGTCACTGTGAGGCACAGGTCTCATCGCAGATGGTATGTTTGGGTAGTTAATAACAGATTTTTTTTTCTTGGACGTACCTGTGGCTTGTCCAACACAAGGTACCATGCAAAAGTAACAATCATTAATATAATTTGTAGGCTCTCTCCAAACGATTGGGACAGCAAAGCGCATAGACCGTTTTTTGCCATTTAACCAGCTCCTCAGACTTGAAGCACATGTATTACAGCAGATGTGGGGTGCCCACTGTTTGTCTTGATCACCTAGTTTACAACCGAAATAAAGCTGATATGCCTTTGTTATTAGTGGAGTAATAGACCATCTCTGAGACGCAAAAGTCACATCACCACACACGTAACAAAACTGATCTGGATTGTTTACACACTTTCGAGTCATCTTGCATGAACGCTGTCAGCCAACTGAGGAAAAAATGGCTAATATAAAACAATATAATGTACACGTATGTATAACGTAACACAATCATGCCGATTACATCATCTTTCCTTGCCGAATATAAAAATGTAGCACGTGCATTCTTGTGAATTACGGTATATTAACACTGTCACAGCAGGAACACATATAATTACCGTATCTCTAAAACTTGAACTAATATTGAAAAAATAAGTTTCATTCCGGTTTTAGCACATTAAAAATAGTAATATTTTATTTAGGATATTTTTTGGCTGTTGATCAGTGTAATTTCTTTAACTTGATTTTTTGGCAATGAAGTAGTCTTACATCAAGAATGAAACGAACGACCAGACAAGCTGGAGACTTAAATGTGTATTTTGCCAAGCAAAAGAAAATACTGGATCCAAGAATTTGCAATAGGCTACCAAACCATATGAAAGAGTATGGAAATATACATAATTTTAAGGATAAACTGACAGATTTTCTTGTATGTAAATGTTATTATGCCGTCTCTGAGTTTGTTATGTTATGATTTATTTGTGTTTGTTTTACACATATCCTATACAAACATATACTAAGTGACATATAAATCCGAACACCCAGTTTAAATGGTTTTATTGGTGAATGTATTTATCTTACTGTCAATAACAAGTGAAAAAATTTTCAGCCTTATCAGTTTGACATTCCGGTTTTTATACTGCTTTTTTTTAATTCACTAACGCTCTAAAAATGAATATTTCAGCCGCAGTAAAGAATCAACGTTGGCGGATTTTGGTTCTTGACATCCTTTACGATCGGTTACGATGCCTAGAGTACGGAGACATGTACGATTTCGTCAACTTAGTGAGTTTGATAGGGGCCGTACAGTGGGACTTCGGGAAGCTGGACTTTCATTTCGGGCAACTGCAGTTAGAGTGCAAAGAAGTGTAGACACTGTGGTTAGGTGTTGTCAGGCATGGCTTCGAGAAGGCCGTACGCAAAGAGCAAGGGGCACTGGACGCCGCCGTAGAACAACAGACCGTGAAGATCGCCGCCTAAGATTAGTGGCCTTAAGGGACCGTTTCTCCACTACCAGGTCCATTGCAAATGAATGGTTTGCAGAACACGAAAGACCTATTGGCATGCAAGTGTTTACCGATGAATGAGAAGTTTTGGCTTGTTCTCATACCGGCCACACTGGGTCCTCCCTTTAACTCGAGAACACCGACGTAATCGCCTTGAGTGGTGCAGACAACGGTCACTCTGGGATCAGGAATGGAACAGTATTGTCTTTAGTGACAAGTCTCGATTTTGTTTAGGCATGCACGATGGTCGTGCCAGGGTTAGAAGGCGACGTGGTGAAAGGAGGAATCCACAGTTTTTTGTTGAAAGACATGTTCATCACACTGTTGGAGTAATGGTTTGGGGTGCTATAGCTTATGGTTCCAGGTCACCTTTAATCTTCATCAGAGGTAACATGAACGCGCAGCGTTATATCCACGAAGTTCTAGAACCCCATCTTTTACCCTATCTTGACACCCTGGCAGATCCAACTTTTCAACAAGATAATGCCCGACCACATGTTGCAAGAGTCACAATAGACTTCTTTCAACATAATGATGTCACATTGTTACCATGGCCACCAAGATCTCCCGACTTATCCCCAATTGAGCACGTGTGGGATATGATGGGTAGGAGATTGCTCAATTTGCAACGTCCTCCTCAGACTCTAGAAGCACTTCGAGAGGAGTTGGTGGTTGCCTGGAATGAGATACCACAGGAGGACATTCACCATCTGATCAGAAGCATGCCTAGGCACGTTGGAGAATGGAGAATGCGTATCACATCAGGGTGCATCCACACATTATTAAAGGTGAAAGGGCTTTAAAGCAGTGCAATCATTTTGAGATTTTTATCATTTACTTATTATGCTTCATTAAATACTTATACCAAATTGTATTAAAACAAAACCATTTAAACTGGGTGTTCGGATTTATATGTCACTTAGTATACTTTGTATTAGGATAATAAAAAACTTTGAATTTGAATTTGAATAGCATTCTCACGAACACACGACGCACACGTTTTCTTTCTGATATTATCGCTCACTAAACATTTACAAAAACGAATAAGGCATTAGTTTTTCCGGATAATTCTGGATCGTCTTTACACTTGTTCAATTTTAAACCGAGCTCGGACAGATGTGAATTATAAAATATCTGTCCTAGTTGGAAAGTCGGCAATATGCTTCAGCAAGCGACAGCATCAGAAAGAAAATATTGATAAACCAATTGCATAATTGTTCCAAAGAGCGCTAATAAAACAATTTTATTGATGTTCGCGAACGAATAAACTCGTGTCGGATAAATCTATTATAGAACAAATTTGTTCGGTAAGGTTAAATGTCGTATAAAATTGTATTGAAATTTGTCGTATAACTGTTTTTTATTTTTTCTCTAAGAACATTCTGACGACTACCGTATAAAGCAAAATACTCCTCAAAAGCTTAATTGTCTTACTGGCAATTATTTTCAAACAAAATTACATTCTAGAAACAGTAATAAAGTAACTATGAAGTAAAATAGTACGAACGGTTGAAAATGGTTAATCTTACTAATTTTTATAATCAAATCTACAACGTTTTTAAATTGCGTAAATAACGAATAAATGGCATTAAGTTTTTTTAAGTTTATCCAAAATTTGTAGTCAGTAAGTAAGTATCATTGAATTAAATATTTAAAACACACACGACAACAGCGCGTCGCATTTTCATCACTGTTATCGAACCGGCAATCGATCGCAAACGGTAACAGTGGTTAGTTATCGTTTTGCATAGATAGATTACTTTATCTTATTGTCGAGCAGACCATCGGGCGTGTTGTTTTGTTTTTGTTCGCGTACGTCGCCGTGTTTATTTACAATGTTCT